CTTCTTTTTTTTTTCTTTTCTCTTTTGACTTTGTTGCTGTTGTTGTTTGTTGGTCTAAAATTAAATCTAAGAATTGTTCATTGTTATCCTTACTTGGTGTACAGTTTTTTAGCATCTTTTTGCCCTTCCATGAATAAGCGGATATAACTTTCCAAAAGTCCTTCACAGACAGCAACAAACACCCAGACTCTACCTGATTTTAAGAAAAAAACATCAATTTATATTCAAAATGGTATACGTTAAAATGTGACAAAATAAACAGAGGAACTTGAGAAACACAGAGGAACTAAATAAACAGAGGAACTTGAGGAACACAGAGGAACTATGTCCAGGGGTGTAGCCAGGTCTTAACTATAGGGGGTGTAGAGCCTGGCATTACCCCTTCCCTGCCAAATCCACAGGAATCCTGCATGATTTAATTAAATTTTGGTGCCCAATTGCCTCCCTTGCTAYGCCACTGTATATGGCTACTAGTGACCAAATACAGAAATTCCTAAGGGGGCAGAAAGATATATTAATTTTGCCTCTTTCCGGAAAATATCCATACATCCTCCATGGAGGGGGATTGGGAATTCTCAATGGATGGGAAAGGTATTAGGATCGAGAGTATAGGTTCCCTCTGCAGGCACTACCACTACATTCAACTCACTTTTTATGGAGGGAGGAAACCCAGAAAAACATAGAGAAAAGCTCTCATGAAAAGATCCACTCACATGTGGCTTAGCCAGGAATCAAACCCACAGCCCCTGGCATTATGTACTACACAGTGGTGAGAGGCAGCCACATAGCAGCACATTCAACCCATGCTACTTTTCAAAGAAAAAACTACAAAGGGTTTTTCTTCTATGTAATTCGGAAGAGCAGACAGCACTCCATCAAGAAGTGTATGAAGTCCCTTGTGAGTTCACACTTTTTTTAGGCTTTCAYCATTTCCTGGCCTGTGTATCGAATCACTTTAAGAAGGCCAGAAAAAGTTGTTTTACTTCTTAATCAATTAACACTTYCTTTCGTGTTACATACCTTTATCAAGGTCATTTGATACTTGTGGATGTCTTGAGATCAGTTTGACAGTCTCAGAGTGTGTGATCTTTACAACAAATGGCCAGTACCCATTCTCAACATTCACTAGTCTGGAAACATTGTTTAAAAAGAAGTGAGGACTTAGGGAAGATATGAATATATTGAGTTGTTAGTGAAACAAATCCATGGGCACAAACTCAAGTTTATGATAATGGAGGATTCAAGATGTCAAATAACCCTGAATGTTGAGCCAGTAACAAAGGTATGACTGAGCTAAAAATAACGTGGTTGGTCATCATGATTCAGGCAACAGTCCATTTGCTACAAACAGTTATGTGCTGATATATCACTTTGYTGATGAACCAATTCAGCCAAAGGTCTCTTGGGGAAGGCTCTGCTAGACGTCAGCAAACAAACTATAAAATGCTTGCATATCTTGAAATCGAAAAATGTCTTAGAAGGGAAAAAATTTTGAAAAAGGTTTTAGATATGACATTAGTAATCCAGCAAAAGTTATTTAAACAAAGGAAATCCTATTTCTTTTGCCATCCATGCAGTAACAGTCATGTGATTGTTCCCTGCAAATGGCCTACTGACCAGCCACTATTTTAACCCCTKTATCCCCTGGGATTCATACCCATGTAATAAGACATGATCCAGCAAGTCCAGTAGGCATTGCAGGTGGATATTTCTACTTGTAACTCTGTAGTTTGTGTCTCCTTCAGCATCTGCATTTTGCTTGCTGATTTGAAGCTGAAGTCAAAAATAAATAAGGTTCAAATGACTTAACAATAAATGTCCTCCCTTATGGGGCAGCATGGTCCCTGCGCTATCTTAAAAGGCAGCTGTGCCTTTTACATCGAAGCGAGACGAACGGTGAGCTTGCAATGATAGAGACCTTTTTTTAACACCTTGGACAATTATTTGCACGTCTCTATCATTGCAAGCTCACTGTTCGTCTTGCTTCGATGCAAAGGCACAGCTGCCTTTTAAGATGGCGCAGGGAATTGTGAAGGGGACTATTGCCATGTCACTAGTTCTACTTACAGCTTTGATCTGTTCTCCTATCTGTTCAATAATCCCATCCTTAACAATTGCACTCTTAGAACGCGATGAAAACATTTGTACACATATATGCCATCAAACGTACTCCATGTGATGTTACTTTCCTCTAAAAGCTATGATAAAGAAACCATATTTGACATGTCACAAAGACGCTTCCAAATGTAAAATAATACAAAAAGTTTGGGTTAATATATTCTGTTAAATGTCATGAACGTTTAAAATGCCATAAATACTTTGAAAATAAGATTCATTCAAAAACAGCCTAATACAATTAATTATTATAACTTACGGATATTTAGATGAATATTCTAGCGTTTTGAAGACTGCTTTCCTGATATAACGGATACCTGCCAACGTTCTCTTCGTCACGACGTCCCGTCTTGATCCCAAATTAGAATTCCCAAAACTTAAAAAATWATTATTATTATATCGAAAAATGTGGTCTTAGACCTGGAGACKTAGGAGATTAATTTGTTTTTGTAGCAAATTGCGGAAAAGCGGAAGGATTTAACAGCATAAAATTTAAAGAAAAAGTAGTTGTTTCAAAGTGGAGCCGGAAGCTCGAGACAAATCAACAAAATAAGAACCAGGCCTGAAAAACCCTCAAAGAAGACTGGTGCGATCTAGCACAGGTAACCCATAACAGAAAATGTAGCGTTCAATTTGTATTTATTTATTTTGCCATAAGATTAATGTACAAACTTCTTAACATGTAAAATTGAATGAGATTTTATATAATTTTAGAATTTTGAAGTCCAAAATACAAATAGACACAAGAAAATACAGAATCGAACGTTTGGACAGACAGACAGACAGACAGACAGACAGTTGCCTCAACAAGAATAAATATGCTTGAAGTATAAAGCTTAGTTTATATATGCTATATATTCGCTTTATATCCGCTACGCGTCGTGGTTTCCTACGCTCCTCTCGTGTTCTCTCAACATCCCGCGTGTTTTGATCAGAGTATCAAACACGGAAAATTGATTTTG